ATGAACGGCTAGATGGATGGATGGATGAACGGCTAGATGGATGGATGTATAAATGGCTAGATAAGTGGATGGATAAATGGATATATGTATACATGATATATAGGTGATAGTTGAATGATATATATGTATATATATGATGGATAGATTTATATGTGATAGATGAATGGATATATAGATGGATAGATGAATGATAGATGGATAAATAGGATGAATGAATAGATATAGATGGATAGATAGACTGAATGGATAGATGAATGGATGGATAGATAGACAAACAGACAGATATGATAGGAAGTAGAGTATGATAAAGGCAAGGACTAGAAAAAGGGTTATAAGGATTATGAGGAGGGAAAGCTTACTTCTAACCAAGGATCTCAGGAAAGATTCCTGAAAGAAGGGGCACCTAAGCTGGATCTTGAAATAAGAGAAAGAATTTAACCTGGGCAAAGCAAGCACTTTCTAGGAATGGGGAAGGTTGGCTTGCCCAAATGTGATGGAGGGTAAGAGGAGACAAGAAAAGAGCTACCTGTCCCGTTAGACCAGAATTTAGGGTTTGTGAAAGAAAGGTGAGTTGAAGCCAGGTCTCATGGAACTTTCAATGCCAGGCCAAGAGTTTGCCATTTATCCTAGAAGCACTAGGGATCAACTGATAGTTTTTGAGCAATAGAGTCACCACATTGGTCTTGTGCCTTGTGAAGGTGTCTTTGGCACCTGTGTGAAGAATGGACTGTTGTTAGAGATTCCTCTTGGGAATGCAAAGACCAAAATGAAATAATGGATCAATCCCTGCCCTCAAGAAGCACATAGTCTATCAAGTTTTTTACTTAAAATTTTTATCCCCCTAATGCCTAGCACAGTGTGCTGCTCACAGCAGGCCCTTAGTAAATGTTTATTGAAGAAATGAATAGTGGTTGGCCCACATGCCTGCTAGGGAGGGGCAAACTAGTGCAGTACATTGAGTCAGGAATCTAATCCTGATTCTACTGCTGTTCTTCAATTCTGTCAGCTTGTCAGTCATTTGTGTCAGCTATTGTCAGTCAGTCAATGATGTCAGTCAATCACTTCACCTCTGTATTTCTCCATTTCCTTGTCTGTAAAATGAGTGCAGTGAATCCTGCTGGGTTGTGTGGGATGAAGAAGTAACAGCATGTCTTAGAATCAGTACTGGCAGTCTTATTGTTTTCATTATCTGAAACTTTTCCATGCTCTTCCTTCCTAGCTAGTGAACATTGGGTCCTCTTATAACTATGGGAACGAGGACCAGGCAGAATTCCTGTGTGTCGTCTCCAAGGAGCTATACAACTCTCCCAATGGACTGAGTTCAGAGCCCAGCCGGAAAGCCAAGGTGAGACCCAGCTTTCAAGCTGATCTCTCTGCCCCACTGAGTTTCTCCTTCTTCTCTTCCCCTTCTCCTAGCCTGCCATTCCTGTTTCTTCTGTCTTCACCTTTCCTGCTCTGGCATCCATTATGCTCCATAGTCACAGCCATCCCATCCCATGCTGTGCTCCTGTCTGTGAGCGCATCCAAATTAAGCAGGCTCAAGCAGGGGTAGTTGTTGGGTGGAGGCTTGGGCAGGCATTACAGAGGTTATGGTGAGTGTAGACTCCTTTTATGGGCTGAGTGAGAGGATCCTAGGGCTTAGACCTGGAAGGGACCTTAGGGAACCTTAAGTCCACATACCAGGAGGTTTGGTGTGGCCTGGTACGTGGTGGTGCTGGACTCTAGCCAGCATCATGAAGTGGATGGGTCTTGGTCTCAACTCAGGACTGTGAGCACTCAGGAGAGTTGGATTTTAGTCCCCTTTCTCCTCCTAATTCCCAATGTGAGCAAATCTTTTTAACTCTCAGGGTCTTCGTTTGGTTATTGAACTTAGATCCCTAAGGTTCCTTCCAACTCTGGAGTCCTCTGGTTCTGTCTGATGGATGAGAGCCTATAAAGGTAGTCTTATCATGGCCACAAGGATCTCCCTGGCCTAGCTGTGGCTTCCTAGGTGAAGGGTTCAGAATCTGTCAGGAGTGAGCTAGGACCTGAATGACTGAGTCTTTTCCCTTCCTAAGCAGTCCCTGCTGGCTGGGTGATGTTAAATGGACCCCCAGGAAGTGCTGGCTGGCTGGGGATGCCTTTACATCATCCCAGCATGAGCACCTGCCTTGGGGAAGCCAGCCCTCCTTCTTCATTTGATGGAAATAGCTTCCTCCTCTCTGCTGGGTCTGAGCCTTTGGGTGGCTCTCCAGCTAGCCCTGGAGGCTGAGCCCAAGAGGCTGTCTGACTTTTTCTGGAAGCCTCTGGGTGGTGGTGGCATTTGTCTGGATTCCTGGAGGGGGATGTGAACCCTGGATAGAAAGGATGAGTTGAGATGGTGCCCAAGAGCTGATGAATTCCAGCAGGAGGACAGGCTGACCCTCTGATGTCTGAAGCAGAGTCTTTAGTAAAGGGAGGAGTTTTGGAAGGAGGGAGATGGCTGTGTGCTCTTCTTGTCGATGGCCTGGTCTCCCCTGAAGTAGAGGTCTTTTTGTCTGTCCGTCTGCCCCTATTGTAATCTCTCCCATGCTCCCTTACAGTAATGTCCTCTGTGGTTTCTAAAGCCTTGGCAAGTATGTGCTGACCAATGTACTGATTCCAATAAATTAGAGCTGTTCTCAAGTAGGATGAGTTGTTTTGTGAAGTAGTGAGTTCCCCACCCTTGGAGGAGGCGGGGAGATCTGTCAAGGGATGAATAGAAGATCAGATTTAGATCCAGCATTGAACTTAGATGCCTCCTAAATGTAACTATCCCACCTTCCCATTTTAAAGATGAGGAAACTGAGGCTAAGGGAATATTATAAGATCACAGATCTTGAGCTGGAGGGGACCTCTATAGTCCCTAGATTAACTAGTTAGTTACTGTAGTCCAGGTTAACCCAGGGTCTATGAATTTGTTTTTAAAAAATATTTTGAGGGGCAGCTAGGTGGCTCAGCGGATAGAGCACCGGCCCTGAAGTCAGGAGGTCCTGAGTTCAAATCCAGCCTCGGACCAAACACTTGACATTTACTAGCTGTGTGACCCTGGGCAAGTCACTTAACCCCAATTGCCTAAAAAATAAAATAATAATAATAAAAAATATTTTGAACACCAAATATCAGAATAATTGGATTCCTTTGTAGTCAAGTATTATGTTTTATGCATTTCAGAACATTACTCTGAGAAGGGATCTGTAAACTTCACCCCAATGTCAAACAGGTTCATGACAAACAAAAAAGCTAAGAATCCCTTATCCAATGTAACCCCCTCATTTTACAGATGAGGAAACTGAGGCCCAGGAAGAAGATGTAACTTGCCTGGTGTCACATAGCTAGTAAGTGTCTGAGGAAGGATTTGATCCCAGGTCTTCCTGACTCCAAACGTTGCACCATCTACCCCTCTCCAGTGCCTGCTGAGGGACATGTTAGAAAGAGCAATGGAATGGAATGGGGGGAGGGGCAGAGGACCAAGGCTGGGATCTGCCTTCTGTTATTTGCTCATCAGGTGACCTTGCAAAGTCCCGTTTCCTTTCCGGATTCTCAGTTTCCTCCTGTGTAAAATGTGAGGGTCAGATTAGATCAGAGGTGTTCTGGAGGCAGCCAGTGGTTAAATTTTCATTGTGAGCATTTCCACCTCAAAAATCCAAAAACACTACCCATCAGGGCTTGATTTATAGTTTGTGAATTGTCCAGACCTAAGAAAGTGATGGAGAAATGTTATTACTGCTAATTAATTGTGTCAGGTATACATCCCCCTACACCCAACATTGACCAGCATGCTTCTGGGTTAGATGGTCTGAACTGACTTCTGAGGTCCCTTCTGCCCCCAAGACTCTGGGCCTCTGGGATCTTGACCCTAGTTAGAAGGATCCGTAGAGATCACCTAGTCTACCCCACACATCCCTTATTTTACAGATGAGGAAAGCTGAGGTCACAGAGGTAAAAGTATTTATTAAGTGTCTACTATGTGACTGAGAAGGTGCTAAGCAAGTAGCGGGGATGAAATTTGAACCTTAAGTGTCTTTTCTGAGGACAGCGCCAAGGAATGCCAGGCAGAGTAGTGTGGGTGCCAGATGCCCAGGTCTACCAGGAAGCCAAGGTTCCTTCGAATTCCCTCTACCTCCTCATTACAAGGGGAGCAAGGCTGAGTAGGGATCTGAAAATCAAGTCCCTTTCTGGCCCTGGGGGTGTGTGTGGAGGTTGGTGAGGTGCCCAAGCTCCTCTACCCACCTCCACTCCTACCTCACGCGTGCATCTAGCTTCTCTTAAAGCTATACTTTTTAAAGTACTAGGGGAGTTAGGTGGGGCAGTGAATAGAACCCTGGAACTAAACTCAGGAAGACCTGAATTCAAATCCAGTCTCAGATACTTAATAGCTGTGTGACCCTGGGCAAGTCACTTAGCCTCTGTTTACCTCAGTTTCCTCATCTGTAAAATAGCAACAATAATAGCACCTACTTGCTAGGGTTGTTGTGAGGATCAAATGAAGTAATATTTTTAAAGCACTTAGCAAACCTTAAAGCTCTCTATAGTGCTAGTTATTATTATTGTTAATAAATCCAAATTTTATTACATTATTACAATATTTGTATGATATTATTCAAGTATAATATTTTAGAATTATAAAATTATAATATTTATATGTTATTATAATTTGTTTAGGGGTAGCTAGGTGGCCAAATGGATAGAATGCCGGGCCTGGAGTTAGGAAGACCTGAGTTTAAATTTGGCCTCAGACACATACTAGCTGTGTGACCCTGGGCAAGTCACGTAACTCTATTTGTCTCAGTTCCTCATTTGTAAGATGACCTAGAGGAGGAAATAGCAAACCACTCCACTGTCTTTGCCAAGAAAACCCCAAATGGGGTCAGGAAGAGTCAGACACAACTAAAAAAAAGACTGAACAACAACATAACAAAATTAGAATGATTATACTATTTATATAGCAGTCATGCTGTATAAATAGTATAATAATTCTAATATTTATATTATGTTATTAGAATTATATAAAATTATAATTATTAGAATTAGATGAACTTATATTTATATTATTAGAATTATACATATTATAAATATCATACTATCTCTATATTATTACAGTTATATACCTTATAATACTTATGTTGTGTATTAGAATTCTATAAAATATAATCTATTAAATCTAAAAATCTGAATTTTTAATGGACCTGCTATTACATCAGGATTAGGTAAGGAACTCCTCCTACTTATGCACATCAGCTACATATGTTCCTAGAGAATTACCTGGAACGCTGAGGAGTTAAGTGACTTGCCCAGGGTCACACAGCCATAGAAAAGGATTTCAGCTTGGCTCTGAAGACAGGAACCCGCGCAAGTGGGTAGAAGGAGTGACAAGAGTCTTTGTTTTAGAGTTGGAGAACCTCAAATCCCAGCTCGGACATTTTCTCCCCATCTCTCTGACTGTGGGCAAGTCCCTTGGGCCTCAGTTTCCTTCTCTGTAAAACAAAGGAGCTGGACTAGATTGAAGTCCTTTCTAGCTCTAAAGCAAGGATTCTACAATCCTATGACCTCTCTAGGCCTCAGTTTCCTCCTCTGTCAAATTGGGGGCTTTGGCTAGGTGACCTCTCCAGACTTTTCCAACTCAGAATCCTCCGATTCCCTCTGACGAATCCTTTTCCTCTCACCCTGAGGGAGCCCCTTCCACAAGTGCAGGCTGGGTGCGGGGGGAGAAGAGGCAGATGTGCTCCCCGACCCCCCCCCCCGGCGCTTTAGCGGGCTCCCGCAGCCCTCGCAGCCCCCACCCTCGGGAGCCGTGCTCGCCCCGTTTCAAGTGTCTCCACTCTTTCTTCCCTGGGTCCGGCCGTCTGGGACACAGAGCACGGAGGAGGAGCTGGAGGAGGAGGAAGAGCGGCAGGAGGAGGAGGAGGAGGAGGTGGTGCAGGTGGATGAGGTGCAGGTGGAACCCGAGGCAGATTCGGACGAGAAAGGTGCAGCAACCCCCTGAGGAAAATGATTTTAGTAAAAGCCTGAGCGTAAAGCCACCTGTCCCTTCTGGTGAGAGTCCATCGGAGGTAGCCGCCGAGCTGTGCTGGGGGCCGGGGGGGGCCGGGTACTAGCCCTCGTCAGCTCCGCCCCTGTCCCCGGGCGCCGGTCATAACCATCCCTTCTCTTGCTTTTGTCTTTTTTTTTTTTTTTTTTGCAGTGCAGCTGTGTCGGGATCCTGCTCATTCTCTCCCCTTCTCGCCGTCTCATCTTCCTCCTCTTCCTCCTCCTGAAGGGTCCATCTCATCTTCACCCACTTCTGCCTCCTCCTGGATCTCATCTGCTCCCTGCTTCCTCTCTCTCACCTCTTGCCCCTGTTTCCTCTCTTCCTACTCCCCCCTCCTGAGGGGCGCTCACGCCATCAACGCTCCCTCAGGGCGCGGTTCCTCCGACGTCCAGGGCAGCTCAGTGTAATCCCAAAGCATGGGGTTTGGCGTCAGAAAACCTGGGTTCAAATCCCAGCTCGGAAATATGAAGGAGCTGGGCCGGATGGCCGCCAAGGTCCCTTCCGTCTCCAAATCCCATAATCCTATAATCCCATAATCCTATGGACTCAGGCATGTCAGTTTCCCTCTCTGAGCCTCAGTTTCCTCACCTGTCCAATAAGTGGGTTGAACTAGATCACCTGTAAAGCCCTTTCCGGTTCTGGATTCTATCACTGTAGTCTTCCACCCCCTGGCTGCTTCCACACTTTCTAGAAAGGAATCGTGCCTCCGCACCACTTTGCCCACGCCTCCTCTTCTAGCCCCCGTCTCAGATCGCTCCTCCTTTCAGGTTTCTCTCCGTACCCTCCCAAGCCTGAGGCTGAGCTCCGTTGGAGGGGTTCCCGTCCTCTCCCTCTCCTGCAGAGCTCCCAGTTCCTGGTGTGTAGCTTGGGCAGCGACGGGGGTGTGAGAGGAAGAGGGCTTACCTTCTGTTCCTTGACTACAGCTAAGCGTATTTTTTGGCGGGGGACTGACTTTTTGCAATCTCCTTTTTTCTCGGTGCATTTCTATCGTGGTCTGGGGTTCGAAGCCACAAGAATGAAGGTGGGGCTGTGTGGGTGGGGCGGGGGAATAGATACGTGAACACACTTGCCCACATGTGGCAGGGCCCAGATAAGAGGGAGAGACCTAAGAATCCAGGTGACTGCGGGTCCCGGGGCTTCCTCTCCCGAGCCTCCCAGAAACCATCATCATGCCTTCTCCGGGAATGAGATCCTTTATCCCGTCTCCTCAATGTCCCTGATCTAGGCAGCCTGGTTTTCTCGATCCTTTTGCCTGAGGCCTTGCACAGAATGAAGACAAGGTCCTAAATCCCTGGTGGGAAAGACAATGAACTTGTTGTCAGGGGGACCTGGGTTTCGTGCCTGCTCTTGGCCAGGCCAGTTGACTGTGGGCAAGTCGCTTCCAATCTTGGGGACTCAGTAGCTCTATCTGCAAAGAGAAGGCAATGATTGGACTAAATGCTGCCTCCCAGCGCTAGCAGGCTGGGCTGTCTCCCCTCCTCCCCGACTTGGAAAGGTCGTTGTTTTCCTGGACTTGGGCTCTAGAGCCTGATCTGCATGAGGTTGGTGCTAGGGGGTGGAGGTGGGGGGAGGAGGTGAATGGGAGGGGATTTAAAGGGGAGGGCATTAAGGACCATTGGGAGGGACTCCCTCCAGCCTCTTCATTCTTTCATTCTCGAGGCAGAGGCAGGAATTCGTGGGCTCTAGCCCAGCTTTCCACCTGACACCCCAACGTTTCCATCCTCAGCCTGATACCTGCCCTTTTCCGTGACAATGAATGTGACTTACCTGCTCTCTTCTCTCTCTCTCCCTCTCTCCATTTCTGTCTCCTATTTTTCACCACCAACCTGGCCCCTCTGCACCATCCTCCCTGCCCTTACTCCTGCACGTTCCCCTGCTGACTCTCCCCTCCTCCCATCCACTGTCTCCCAACCCCTCTTATCTTTTAGCTGTTACAAGCCAGAGGCTCCCAGATGTGAGAACGTTGATCATCTTCCGGGAATTTTTGTTTTCTGTTCTGAAATCTTTATTTTTTTACTGTGGCCTGTGGCAGCATTCCTGGGCCGAAGCAGATTGCCCCAGCAGTTACCCTCACCCCTGTCCCTTTCAGGCACTCCCTCTGGTTCCCTGTCCCCCCAAACGCAGGAGATGATGCAATGTGTTCACATTGGTTGGTCAGGCTGGGGTGGGGGCAACTGAGATGGGGATTTTTACATTTCAGCAGTGAGGACATGAGGGCAGGTATCCAGGCAGGGTTCAGTTTCCAGGGCCCTCGACTCCTTCCCAGTTATGTTTCTCTCACCAGGGAGGAAAAGTATGAGTTAACCTCACTAAAGTGGGCTCAGGAACATCACTCTGGCCCTCAGTTTCCTTGCCTCCAAACTGGGGATGCTAACCCTTGCCTTGCCCACCTCACAGGGCTGTTGTGAGGATGGAATGAGCTGATAATGTATGAAAATACTCAGAGAAACTATTGATGCAAGCTGTTCTCACGGCCTGTCCCAAAGGGATTGGCTTTTTTTTCCCCCAAAAAAATACTGCTCAGGGAGACAATTGTATTTAACTCCAAGGAATGGGTCATTAACGGTGGAGCTTCAGGCCTTGGTGGGAAGACATTTGGATGGGGAGCAAGCCTCAGAAATAAAGACAAATCTGCCCTGGGGTTCTTCTCATCTTCCTTCCCTTCTGCTCATGGCACCCTTTGATAGAAATGAGGGAGAACCATGCTACCCTCTGCAGAACCAGCCTCTGCCTCAGTTCAGCTTTGTGATTTCAGCTGCCCACTGAGGCGTCAAACTGACCCCCTTCTGGTTCTGTCTGCAATAGTCCCCTCTCTCTCTTGTGACTGCCCTCCTCCGTCGGACTGTTTCAGTCAGAAGAAAGAAGACCATGTTAGCATACCTTGGGTGCCCCAGAAGGAGGGTGAAGGAAGATGAATGAAGGCCGCTCATCCTGACCCTCAGAACTGGGGTGCGGGGTTGAATCAGTGAGAGTGTGACCCTAGGGAGATGCCCCTCTCTATCCTGGGGACTGAATGGTGGACTTCACAACTGTGTTGGATGCAGCCTTGTTAATAAAGCCTTGATAGAAACCTCTGGCTCCTCTGACTCACTTTTCTCTTGGGGTGGGTTCGGGGCAGGGAAAGGAGAGGAGGGTGCCAAGGTTCAAATACCAGCTCTCACATTGCTTGAGGAACCTTGGATCCCTTCCTCTCTCTGGCCTTCTGCATCTGTCCAACGAGGGGCTTGGACTAGAGACCTCAGACATCATCTAGTCCGATCCCCTCTCATTGGACAGATGGGGAAACCAAAGCCTGGAGCATAATGACTTGCCCAAGGTTACGCCAGAAGAAAGTGGAAGAGCCAGAATTGGAAGCTTAGGCTGCAAGCCCAGGGTTCTTTCCACTGCAGCATCATGGCCCAGCTTTCCATTTTATGATCCTCGGACTCCAGAGGGAGAAGGGCATTTTCCCAGTGGCAGTGGTAGAACCCACCCTGTTCCTTTGGGAGAGAAGGGGCAGGGGGAGAGGGAGAGGCTGTAGGCTCAATCCTGGGCATTCAGCCCAGGAGCCTGGGCTCATGGCCCTTGACTGTATTGGCCCTAACCTTGGCAGGACTGGGCCCTTCCAGGGGTCACAGGGCTGGGAATCGTTCCGTCCTTCTGCCGTGTTTTAAGGTTGTCCCTTCAATGATTTGCTGCTGAGCAGAAGAGCAAAGGGGAAGAAGTTCAAGGCTAGCCAGAGGGAACACTGTTGATCTACAGATTTCGGACGCTGTCCCAGCAGCATTCTCAGCTGTCCTCAGGTCGCTGTTTTGGCATGGTGGCGTGGTAGAACACTGGATTTTGAGTCAGCAGACAGAGTTTCAATCCTACCTATGTGACCCTAGGTGAGTCACTTTCCTCTGCTCTGGGCCTGTTTCTTTTCAACCAATCAAGCATTTATTAAGCGCCTACTGTATGTTAGGCACTAGGAATTGAAGAAGTCCATGAGTTGATATTCTATCCTCTATTAACTGAGGGGGTTGAGCAAGGTCATTTCTAATGTTTATCCTAGCTCTAAATCCAGTGTAGGATTCTATGATTTTGGAGAGAAAAAGAGTCAGATGAAAACCAGACTCAGCAGGCCGTTAAAGCAGATTTATTTTGGGCTGAGTCTCAGTGACTTTCCTTACACCTCCCTTGGGCCAGGGAGATAGTGGGAACTGGAGGTGGGGAGAATGCAGAGAAGGTTTGAGGTGCCAGGTGTCCAGTTGAGGGACAGGGAGATGGAGGAAAGCTTCAGGTCTGAGAAGCCTCTTTCCCTCTTTGGCTTGTGAAAAATCCCTGTAGGTTAGGATGGGAGCCAGAGCTCCTTTAATAGCAGTGGGTGTGAAGTCAGGCTGGCTACTCCCCCTACCCCAATTCCCCTGGCATCTCTGCTCAGGCACCTCCTCACCCCCAAAGTATGGAGGCTTGTGGAAACCCCCATCCTGTCACATCCAAAAGCGGGGGGCTTGTTTTTGAAAAACTGTTTGGTTCGACATTAGCTGAGGGAGAAACCTCAGGGATTTGAGTTTCTGCCCACTGTGAGTCCAGAGCAGTTTCTCTATCCAGTCAGAGCTGCCCAAGGGCTCCAGGCTGGGGTGGCCTCTGAGAATTGATAAAGGGTCAGGGCCCACAGGAGGATGGGAAGAAAGGGAAGTATAGCCTCGTGGGCCTTTGGAGAGGGTGCTGGCTGCTGGTGTTTGGAGGGAAGGTGCCTTCACCACCCAAATGTCACTAGATCCTGGCCAGGTCAATTCCGAAGTCACATTTTTGCATCCCTTGTGGTGGGGCAAGGAAGCAGGTCAGGAGGGTCTCCCAAAAGAAGAGAGCAGGTAAAGGATGTAGAACAAAGTAGATGGCCTCAGCCCCACAGCTGTTGCCCCACTCCTCCCTGGAAAAACCCAAATTCTCCCACCAGCTGGGTAGAAGCACCGCCCCCCCCCCCATAGCCCCCCACATAGGAGAGGCAGAGCCAGCTAAACAGGGCTTCGGAGCTCTTGAGTGGGCTCTAGGCCAATGGGTGGCCCCCAACTGGGCCGGACAGATGCAGCGTCTTCAGGACAGAGTCTGCTGGATCCAGCCCATCACCCGAGTGATTCTGGTGTAGACTCCAAAGTAGTTCGGTCTGCCACACCCCAGGCCCCAGCTTACCACGCCCGCCAGGAACCACCGGCCGCTGGACTCCTTGCAGACCAGTGGGCCTCCTGAGTCACCCTAGAGAGAAGGCACCGTCAGGACTCAGAGGCAGCCGCTTAGAGCCACCCAGGGGTTCTGGATGCTAGAAGGTTAATGATTATAGTGAACAAGTATAATGCTTTGGGATTTGCAGAGCACTTTACATATATTATTAAGTATATGTAAATATGTCATATATTTACAAGTGTGTTATTGAAACATGTTTTAATCTTACATAAAATTAAAAATTATTATATAAGATTAAAACATGTCATATTTTAACATTATTTTTGGAGTTTCAGGTAGGAATTTGATCTGCCTAACAATCCTCAGCAGTAAAAACTCTATTACTCTTTGCAGAGAAGGAAATGGGGAAGTGCCTTGCCCAGGGCAATCCAGTTAGTAAATATCTTAGGCAGGATTTGAAGCCTTCCCATGTCCAAGTCTCTGCTCTATCTACTAGGCAAGCTTGCTGCCTTGAAAGAAACACAGTTCTCCCAGACAGGGTTCCAATTCCTTGTGGTTGAGAAATGCTAGCCAAGGGGTTGGGATACTTGCTTCTTTTTCTTAACTAGCTGGGTGTTTTGGGGCAGGATGTTTAAACTCTTTGGACATTGATTTCCTCATCTGTAAGAAGGAGATAATGAATCTCTACCTGCACATTACTGTTGTGAAGACCAAAGGGTAGAGTGGGTAGGGATGTGTGTTTTTTTAGGCAATTGGGGTTAAGTGACTTGCCCAGGGTCACACAGCTAGTGAGTGTCAAGTGTTTGGTCTGAGGCTGGATTTGAACTCAGGTCCTCCTGACTTCAGAGCCCGTGCTCTATCCACTGTGCCACCTAGCTGCCCCTAGGATGTGTTTTTAAAAAGAATAAGGTATTCTACATAGAGCAGAAATGACTCTTTCCAAGTCCCATGCTCCACTTTCCCCTGAACCCCAGCCTGGCCTTACTACCCAACCCATCTCTAGGGAGCTGAAACTCTTGTGATTCTGCAGGATTTAGAATGAGGAAGTTCAAATCTACTCGTCTTCAGACGCCTACTGCCTGTATGACCCTGGGCAAGTCATTTCTCTCTGGACTTTAGCTTCTTCAGCTATAAAATGAAGAGGTTGAACTCACTGACCCCCAAGTTCCCTCGCATCTCTAAAACTGCCCACAGATGCTTAAGGGCTGACTATGTGCCAGGGACTGGAACATTTTAATCTCCCCTACCTCTATGTTGGTGAGGCAGGGCTGCCTCTACCCGGCAGGGTTGAAAGAGGTTAGGATTTGTAGCCAGAGGACTTTTGGGTTTGAGCTCCAGTTCAGAGACTGCCTGTATGACCTTAGATCAGTCACTTCTCTGGGAGACAGTTCCCTCATCTGTAATATGAGGTAGTTGGGTTAGGTCATAGGATCCTAGGTCTAAAATTGGAAGCACCCAACCCCCTCCTTTTATGTAAGATGGAATAAAGGTTCAGACAGAAGTGATTTTCCTAAGTGCAGTTATCAACCTGAGGCACTGCCTGGACCAGACTGCAGTGCCTGCCATCATTTCTTACCTAGGGAATCCTTCCCTCCCAGGAACAGTGTCAAGAGAACTGCATTTTCTCCAGATCCCGGAGAGATTATCAATGGTGAGGGAGTGTGGTGTTAGAAGCCTTAATTTTCCAACCTTTTGCTTCCATCAGGGGAAATAGATCAGGAAACAGGGGAACTCCAGATTGGGAGTCAAATGGCCAGAGATTTAGGGCTCGAAGGGATCATAGAAGTGACATGCCTGAGAGAATGGACCCCCAGAGAAGAGAAAGTGACTTGTCCATGATCACACAGTACCAGAAGCATGATTTGAACCCAGGTCTTTTGATTACAAATCCAGTGCCCTTGTCACTGTATCCCACTAAGATTCTTGCCAGCTCCAAATCAATGATTCTATGAACCTATGGGCGCCTGCCTTGGTGTGGAGGGAGACCATCCCCTGGGTATCAGTCACCTGGCAGGCATCCTTCTTGCCTTTGCGATGGCCGGCACACAGCATCTGAGGGGTAACTTGGTAGCGGTAAGCTTCGTTGCACAGATCCTGCTGTATCAGCTCTACATCTACCTTCTGGAGGGTGTTGCTGGAAGGACCTGCCAGGTGGGGTATCAGGGAGATGGATGAGAAGAAACGAAGCCTAGTTGGGGTTTCCTACCTGGCTTCCCCTCACTTACTTAAGTTTTCTCTAGAGTCTCAATCTTGGAGGGGCGCTGTGAAGGAATGTTGGTGTTGGAGGCAGAGGACTTGGGTTTGGGTCTTGGCTCTTACATTTACTTCCTGTGTGACCTTGGGAAGATGACTTAACCTCCCTTGGGCTTCAGTTTCCTCATCTGTGAAATGAGGGGGTTGGGTTGGATGGCCTTTGAGATGCCATCTAGCTCTAAATGACTATCAGGTGATTTCATGAGCCCCCCTTTTTGGGCCTCAGTTTCCTTTTTTTGTAAAATAAGGGGGTTGGATTCCATGGCCTCTGAAGTCCCTTTGGTCCCAATGTGGGCTCCAGTGACACTCTGGCCTCCACATTTTCTCTAGTTTGGTCACCTTAGGAGTAATGGTGGGATTTGAACCTACCCTTCAACACATGGGTTTTAGTATAGAGGGTCCCATTTAGGCCCTCCCTTTCCTGACAGTTACCTACCTCCTTCTCGAAGTGCCCCCCAGCCTGTGATCCAGCAGTGAAGACCAGGTTGGAAAAAGTGGGATGGGGCAGGCATACAGATGGGCATGATCAGGGCTGAGCGGACCACGGGATGATCCAGCTTCAACAGGGCCACGTCATAGTTGTGGCTGTCCTCCTCATAGTAGGGATGAAGGAGCAGGCGGCTAACCTTGAAGGATACCCCACCAGGCCAGCGAGCGCCGTGGTGGATCCTGCCC